CAAAGATTTCTCTGGATAATGGTGGATCTTAATTGTATCCTTTCTACTACAGATGTATTGGCTGTTTGACGTGTTCCAGGTTGCACACCAACCAGTGGTGGAGCCTGTAGTGACAGGACAAGGGGGAACGGGGAAAAATCGAAAACAGGGAGGTTTAGATTAGATATCAGGAAGAAATTCTTCCCAGAGAGGGTGGGGAGGCACTGGGACAGGTTGCCCAGAGAAGCTGTGGATGCCCCATCCCTGGAAGTGTCCAAGGCCAGGGTGGATGAGGCTTGGAGCAACCTGGTCTAGTGGAAGGTGTCCCTGCCCATGGCAGGGGGGTTGGAACTAGATGATCTTTAAGGTCCCTTCCAACCCAAACCAGTCTGTGATTCTATGATTCCTCCTTCCTCCCCAGCAGATCCGGGCCCATGCAGCACAGGGGCTTCATGGAGCCATGTGGGACAATGGAAGGGTGGGAGCTCAAGCAGTGCAAAGGAGTTGTACAGCCTGTTGCAGGGAGAATGCCAAAGTCGAGGATGAATGTTCTCATTAGCTTTCAGGACTGCTGTGGAGCTCCAAGGACCCCAGCATCCGGGGACTCTGCTCTGTCTGTGGTCATGTTGTGCTAGCTGGGAGTTGCTCTCTACCCCTTCACCCAGGGGAATTGTGGGAGAAAGCTAGCTAGCTGCCTAGAGCCTGACCTCCTGATCCATTCTCCATTCACACGTCGGCGCTACAAGTGCTTTTACGAGCGCTTCAGTTACTGCTTGCTTTTCCCTCCGGTGCCCTATTAAGAAAGGCTGAGGACAGTGGAGTCCGTGTCCTGTCTGTGGTTAGCTGGGGGTGGTAGCGCTGCGCTGAAAGAAGGGTACCCTGGGGTCTCTGTATGTGAAGGCTCTCTGCTGACCTGGACAGCCAGCCCTCGTGGAGCTGGAGCACGTAGGAAGGAGGGAAATGAAAGGAGACATTAATTTTAAAGAATCTGGATCCTCTGCATACGTACTAACTGGAGACGACGGGATCGTGTAAGAGGACTTTACAAATGTTCTTTGAGCCACGCTTCCTTTTTAAGCTGCGGGTTCTGTTTTGTTTTAACAGAATGTTGGTCCTCCACAGGCAGTTGAAGAGTTCCGTGCATCGTAAAGTACGCTTGGCGCACTGCTGGCGTCATTAATGCAGCATCCTGAGCTCTTTTTGGAAGGGGTTGGTGCCACACGCTCCTTCACACGCAGCATCGCTGGCCTGTGCTCGCTTATCCTCTGGGCAACAGGGCTTTGTGTTGCTTCTCGGGTTAACGTTGCCATGTTTTGCTTCATCTCTCTCGTTCTGCTAGGAAAAACGACTTTGTTGGTACTGGGAACCTCCTGCTGCAAATGCCCGACTCAGGCTGAGAGTCGGAATCTTAACGTGCTTCCTTTTCTTGCAGGCGTGAATGACAGAGGACGTGCCCCAGACTGCACTTACGGACGTAAACCTGCGCCTGCTCTGCCACGATGACATAGACACAGTGAAACAGCTCTGTGGCGACTGGTTCCCAATAGAGTACGTTACTGGTTTGGGGCGTGAGATGGCAGGGAACTAGAAACAAACGGTGTGAACCTGCGCTGGTCCAGTTCGGAGCTGACACCAGGGGCTCTGCAGGGCTGTGGCTAAGGGAGCACCAGGTTCCGGATCTTTTATGCCCTGTGCTGGTGTTCCTGTTAGTGGCCCTTTGCTGCCTGTCCTGCAGGATCCTAACGTCATCCGAAAGTTCCTGTATGCAGATTTTGGCAGAAAAATGGACTTTGGAATTAAGGGGGTGGATCAGGTTGTTGGGAAGGACTGTGTATGAGATGGGGAAAGGAGCACGCCTCCAGTGAGCCCAGAGGAGGCCACAAAGATGCTCACAGGGCTGGAGCCCCTCTGCCATGGGGACAGGCTGAGAGAGTGGGGCTTGTTCAGCCTGGAGCAGAGAAGGCTCTGGGGAGACCTTATAGCACCTTCCAGTGCCTGAAGGGGCTACAAGAAAGCTGGGGGGGACTTTTTACAAGGGTCTGTAGTGACAGGACAAGGGGGAACGGGTTTAAATTGAAAGTGGGGAGGTTTAGATTAGATATCAGGAAGAAATTCTTCCCGGAGAGGGTGGGGAGCCACTGGCACAGGTTGCCCAGAGAAGCTGTGGATGCCCCATCGCTGGATGTCTTCAAGGCCAGGCTGGATGAGGCTTGGAGCAACCTGGTCTAGTGGAAGGTGTCCCTGCCCATGGCAGGGGGGTTGGAACTGGATGGTCTTTAAGGTCCCTTCCAACCCAAACCATTCCATGATTCTATGAAAAAGGACAGCATCCTTGTGCTTGTGAAAGAAAGCCGTGTTCTGGAGTGTGTGCTGAGAAAGCACCCTCAGAGCTGAACCAAACCGACCCGGAGCAACTGCTCCCAAGGGTCTGTCTGTCCAGAAGTCCCAGGGGAGACTGGACAGTACTTGGTGCCTGAGATCGCTGTTGCTCGCCAAGAGCTGGCGTAAAGCTGGTCCCCGTCTGTCCCAGGTCAGTTCCCCAGGCCCCTGTTCGGTAAATGATTGTGTCTGCACAAGCACGGGGACGAGGAGCTTTCCTGGGGGACAGTGGTGGCTTTCTGGCGTAAAGCATCCAGCGAAACCACAGCTTCGAGGACTGTTTAGCTTTGTTGAGAAGGTTTATAGAGGCTTTTAGCAGATTATAACAAAGATTGCATGAAATGTAACAAACCAGCAAAAGCCCTCGTAATGTTTTGAATCTGTAGATTTCTCTTAAACACAAGGCACGCTGAAAACTGATTTCCTCACTTGGAGATCAGTCCGTGCACGCTCGTTTCCCTTTAATCACTGCGGAAGGAGGCGGAGAGCTGGAGGCTGGCGAGGTGATTTTTTGGGTAGCAATATGCAGGATTTTTTTCACACGTGTACCAAATTAATGAGCTCCTTACGCTCCGAGACGGGGGCAGATGGATCTCGCGTTCAAAAATAACTTGCTGAAGAGGGAAGCGAAAGCTCTGGGCAGTGAGTGTAAAAGTTGGCCTGGCAGGAGGCCGTTTCACGCGCAGCCTGCGTTCCTGCCTGGATGCAATTGAAAGAAGCCACGCTGCCGAACGGGGTGCAGCAGCTGTTTGGTGTTTATTGGCACCGTGCAGCGGTGAAGACAGGAAAAGTGAATAACTTCCGAACTCAGATTTCATGGAATGAGCTAAATTAGCAGCATAGCAAGAGCGTGTGACTGAGGTGTGGCTGAGCTGCTTGGCTGTGTGTCTTTGCAGGAGACAGCCCTCTCAGGAGTGAGCTTTCTGCCCTTGGTCTTGTGTGAAATCCAGTGGCCTGCACTTCCAGGACTGGAATTTCAAGATGTTGCTGCCCGTTTCCAGCTGAGCAGCATTTCAGTCCCACGTTTGTTGTGGCACTGCCTGCCGCCATGAGCTTTGTGTCCCCAAACATTCCTGTTCTCTTCCTTCCCAGGTACCCTGACTCATGGTACCGAGATATCACTTCCAACAAGAAGTTCTTTTCCCTCGCAGCCACGTACAGAGGCTCCATCGTGGGAATGATAGTGGCAGAGATCAAGAGCAGAACAAAGGTGCATAAAGAGGTAAATTGTGCTAAATTGTGCTTCCATCTGAGGTACTCCGCCTCTTGCCACGGTTCGCTGCGCTGGGACCTGGTTGGGCTACTCCCCCCCTCTCCATCCAGACATGTATAAGTGTGATCCTGGGTTAATTTCAGAAACCAAGAACGTGCCCGTTTCCAGCTACTGGAGCGCAGGGGGGCTGTGTCCGCGCACGTGAGGGGCCGCAAAGGCCGTTCCTGCTGGGGCGAGGCGGCTGTGGCCCGATGGGAAGCGTGCTGCCTGACGTGCTGCACGGGGAGATCGGGGTGCGAGCGTAACCCGGAAGTGGCTGTGGAGCGGCCGTTTCACTGCGGCCTGGCTGTTCTCAGTGTGCCTGCTCATCACTGGCGACCGGGGCTGAGGGAGGGCAAACCTCTTCCTTTCTTACGGAAGGGTTGAACTCCCTGAGCCGTGCCGGGCCAGTCACTCCTCTGGCTTCCCGCACAAACTCCTTCCTTTACACCGTCACTGCCTCAGTCGCAAAGCTGAGGTAAGCAACCCGCAGGAAGCCCAGGCTGTCACGGAGCTGGGAGGCCAGGAAAGCCAACACGGGACAGCAGAGAGGTGAGGAAGAGGTGGTCACTGGAGGCACTGGACAAGAGCACTGGGTTTGTGGAGGGAAAGCAGCACAGGGAGGAGGATTAAGAAAAGCAGGGGCACTGCAGAGAGTGCGTAACTTCTAAAAGGCCATCCGTGTTATGATTAAACAGTAACATTTGTAGGCACCGAGAGCCTCGAGTGGCACGGGTCTCTTCACTCTGTCTGGCTGCACCTCCGTGCTCGTCAAACTCGGAAGTACATCTTCAGCAACCCTAACAGAAGGCTCTTGTTCCAGCCAAGCCGAGAGCTGGGGGCTTATTCCAGGCGACGGCGCCTGTAGAAGGTGCTCCTTGTCCTCTGCCGCAGTGCAGAGATCCCCAGCTGACACGGAGCTCGGATGGAGCGGGCAGGCGCTACCGACTGGGCTTGATCCAGATGCTGGTGTGTGACTCCAGGATTGGCACTTTGAACCCTTCCTGGTAAAGGATGCGAAAGTATCCTGTATGCGAATATGAAAGTAGGAATAACCCCTACGGGACCGTGCTTGGTTTCTTTAACTCCCCATCTCCTTTCCAGAAGCTTCAGCTGGGACTGTTCGGTGAAGTTTCCTGCTGTAGCCGCCTTTTCAGATGTTCCAGTGCGGGAATCTTGCCTCCCCAGCTACCCTACTAAAGACTTGTTCTCTCTCTACTCAGGATGGAGACATCCTAGCTTCCAATTTTCCTGTGGACACTCAAGTTGCTTACATCCTCAGTCTTGGTGTGGTGAAGGAGTTCCGAAAACACGGAATAGGTAAGAAGCTGCTGAGTGACAACTCTGTCGCTGTCGTTGGTCGTGTGTGGCTGGCAGGTGGGACTGGAGGAGCCGCACCGTTTCACTGCAATCCCCCTTTGAGACGAGCTCGTCGGTGATTGGTGCCAGTGGCTGGGAGGGTGCTGCACTCACATCCCCTTCTTGGTGCCCGTGCAGGTGTGCTGACATCTTTTTGCTGGTTTAGGCACGCCACAACGTGCAGATGTCTCCAAAGACGACGGGGCTTTGTCCGTGTTGTTCCCAGGGGATGGCTGAGCACACCAAAATCTTACACTCCTGCTGCTGAGGCTGACACTGAGACGACAGGACTTCACCCTGGAGCGGGCTTTAGAGCCATTTTCTTTCATGGGTGCCAGAATCCTGGTCCCCGAGGCAGAAAATATACCTGCTTTGAACCTTCAGCTGGTAGACCAAGCATTTAGAAAAAGCCAAGGGGAACTGGCAAACGTGTAACTTGGACACGATTAGATCAGTGGGACGTGTGGAACTGTCAGCTCTCAATGCCTGCTGCAGCACGGGGTGTTTCTGCAGGCAGAAGGGCTTATCTCGAGCGGGGGGTGTTTTGCCATCGAGTGGGTGCCCTCTGGTGCGATTCCAGGCATGATCTGTATCGTTGATCTGCAAAAGCAAATAGGCCAGGTTTGGCAGCATGACCCAGGGCTGCACATCTGGAGGCTCTTCAGTGGATACAGGTATTCCCTCTCTTCCTGGGGTCCTCCCTTCTCCCTGGTCATGCTTAGGAGGGTTCAAAGGGATAGAATCCATCAAGAAAGGAGCAGGAGAGTCCTCGGGGGGAGCACCGCATTTCAAACTTGTCCTGAAACGCTGCTGGAGATGAATTTTCTCTACAAAGAGAGAAATGCTCGCACAGAACAATGTACAGAGAGGGTGGTAAAGGGGTGTGTTCTGTAAAGTTGGGGCTGTTTTGAGTCCCCTTTCAGTTTCCAAATCCTATGGGGTTTGTTTTCAGCTCCATCTTGCTGGAATTTTGTCCTTTCAGTGTCAGTATTTCCTGTATCTGTCATAGCATGGTGCCCTCTCAAAACCTTTGGGCTTGTACCTGTAGCGAAACAACCTAAAGCAGCTGCTTGCCTGCTGCTGCTTTTTCTGAGACCTTTCTCCGGAGAGTTTTTCTCCTTGTGTTTGAAGCCCAAGCCTGTCGTGCAGCAGACTTCACCCCAGGCATACTTTTAAGCGCTGAAGCTTACGCTGGTTTTTCTCTGGCAGACGTTAAAAGGCTTTGGTTTCTAGTTCCCTGCTATTCTTAAACCAGAGGGCAGTTGGATGTCCGTGAGACAGCAGAGTGGAACCTCTCCTCACAAAAGGAAACTGCTCTCCTGTTGATGTCTCGGTGTCTTTTTGTGCTGGGCTGACACACACTCCTACCAAGCATCAAGTGACCCTGCGCTGGGCTGGGGGTTGGGTAACAGCAGCAGATCTCACCGCTGTGACTTAGCGGAGCTGGGTCCTTCGGGCCACGTTGAGGTGGTTTGGATGAACCTCCAAGTCTCATCTCTTGGGGCTGGAGCCCCCCTTCTCTGCTTTCGGAAAGAAAATCCAGGTTGAGAGTGACTATGCCCTGGCTCTCCTCCTAAGTACGGGTCTTAACATCTGAGAACTGGGAGGGTTTTGAGTTCAGCAGATGCAGTGAGCTGCTTGGGAAGTCTTGTTTCGGTGCTCTGCTGCTGTAAATGGCTTGAAAATAAGTGAGTGGGATGGAAGTGATGGCACTGGAAATGACTCGGGGACCTTCCCCCCGAGAGGCTGGGGATGGGCCTTGCCGGCACATTCCTGTGCCCGGTTCGTCATCGTGGTTATTCTGTTTTGTGAAGCCGTGCTCGCCGGTGAGCAGAGCGTGTACCAAAACCACCTAGCATGGTCCTGTCGTCGAGGGGGTCTGCGAGGGCCGGGCAGGATCGGGGGTCTTCACGCGTGCTGGGCAATCGCTGCTCGGACGCTGGGCGTGGGGAGGTCTCGGCTGGGCCCTGCAGACCCTCCCGGCGCTGCGACTCTGGCTCTTCCCTCCAACAGGTTCACTCCTGCTGGAAAGTCTGAAAGACCACATCTCCACAACCGCCCAGGATCACTGCAAAGCCATCTACCTGCACGTCCTCACCACTAACAACACAGCAATAAACTTCTACGAAAACAGGGACTTTAAGCAGCACCACTACCTTCCCTACTATTATTCCATCAGAGGGGTCCTCAAAGATGGCTTCACCTACGTCCTGTACATCAACGGCGGGCATCCGCCCTGGACAATCTTATATCCTTCACTGATGAGCGGTGGGGTGCCCTAAGCAGACGCCGCGCTGTTTTTTCGGTTCAAAACGGCGGTGTAGCAAACCCGGCCAGCCCTGGGGACTGGTGCCTGCTCGGAGCGGTCTGGGTGCAGCCGGGGGGAGGGCAACGTTAGCGGGATTTGGCAGTGACCTGCTTGTGCCCCAGCTGCCCCGACTCCTCTGGGAGCGGCTCGGGGAGGTCACCCGGTAGGTCTGCACGCTGAATTCTGAGCGGGAGCGAGCCTGGCGCCAGTGACAGCGAATGCTGCTGTTAGCCAGTGCTGGGCGTGCTCTGGCCCGGGTGGCGCGGGGTTTGTCCAGCAGCACGGCAGGGAAGCCCGTGGTCGTGCTTCCTGTGGCCTAGGATCCTGTGACCCGGCCTGGAGCTCAGCAGGCTGCTCTCGGGCTGGCTTGGGCGGCTTGTGTCAGGCCGTTGGGTCGTGGAGCAGAATCCTGATCTTACCTGGGGGTAGCTCCTCATCCCAAACCTCTCGGGCGGATGAGAGCGCTGTGCCCCCAGGAGCTCGCTGCGGAGTGCAACGGGCAGCCGCTCAGAGGAAGCGTTTCCCACACAGGCTGGAGCAGTGTTGCCTGACGGCTGCCTCGCAGGGTGCAGAGCAGACCTGCTCGGACAGGAAGGAGCAGGCAGTTAATTCAACGAGCAGAACCCTGAGCAGAGCAGCTTTGGCTGCCGTGGGGTCTGTGGGGAGCGCTTGTCCGCGGAGTACTGCGCCGTATTGGAAGTTGGGGTGACTGTCGCTGTCCTTAACCGCTGGCCACTGACTACCTGCAGCACATCGGCTCCACGCTAGCCAGCCTGAGCCCGTGCTCGATTCCCCAGAGGATATATCGACAAGCCCAGAGCCTCCTCTGCAGCCTGCTGCCCTGGTCTGGCATTTCTGCCAAGAGCGGCATTGAATACAGCCGGACGATGTGACCGGAGCGGGGACGTCCGAAAAGCTAAGGC